ACTAAAACATTTATTCCAAAAAAATTGACTATATCAAGAATAAACCAAAGTAACAAATAAAATCTATTATTTATTCAATTATTTATTAAAAATTCATACATAGAGAAAAATAAATCATATTTATTAACAAAAAAATGACATAAAAATTAAAAATTAATTTGATGGAAATTTTTATAATAAATAAAAAATTTAAGAGATTAATTTTAAACAATAAAAAAATATAATCCGACATATGTATTCGTTCTAAAATTTAAAAACACGAGAAATAAAAAAGCATATGTTCAAATTATAAGGGACCAAAATTATATTTTTTAAAAAATGAGAGATCAAAATGAATTATGTTAAAAACATGAGATGTCAAAATATATTTAAAAAAACATGAGGATTTAAAAATAACTTTTGAAAAAAAATAAATAATGAAAAGAAATAAAATGTAAAATTTACAAATAAATGTCCAAAAATTATAAAAATTGCCATCATGTACCGTAAATGAATAATAATTCGAGACAAATGAATAATAATTTACTGTTTATTTACCCTAAATCTTTTACTATTTTACTTAATATTTATCTTGGACTAACGTGGAACGCATTCTATTTAGGAGTGGGCATTTGTCCTTAAAATTCAAGAGATAACGTCCATTGTTACACGGTAACTAATATGACCAAGTTGACAACATCCATCATTACTCCCATTATGCTACTACGTACAACGACAACATAGCTAGCTGATCAAACACATTCCTTTGGTGTGTATACAGGCTTGCCGACACAAATTTTTAATTTCTATATTGGCCCCAAAACTCTTGTATTTTTAGCTCTATACACACCCAACCATTTTGGACCAGACCTACCACACTATTTGATTGGAACCGCTCATTTACTACTGCTATATATATAGATTCCATTTATCAATCTAACCAGATACCACATAGAAAAACGTTAGGAATGAAGACCAAAGGATTAGAATTTCTTCGGTTTAAATCAATCTTTTTGGATTCACTTGCCCTTAATTTCTTTGTTTGCGTATGATGATCTTGGCGTGATGTGAAGTCCCCATTTACCATCTCCATTACCCATCTCTATATAAAGCACAAACCCTCCCTTTCTCCAGAAGTCAACTCACAGTCTGTATGCCAACATTTCTCTAAAATAACACCATGATCAAAACCATCTCAAACTTCCTTGAAAATATTCACATCGATTTGTCTACAACCATACTAGTACCTCTCTTCGCCGTCTTTTCAGTTATTTGGTATGGATGGGTATATACCAAATCTATAAAGAGAAGCTCTTCTCTACCACCCGGTCCAAGAGGCCTCCCATTGATTGGCAATCTTGCCTCTCTCGAGCCAGATATTCATTCCTACTTTGCAAGATTAGCTCACACCTATGGTCCAATATTTAAGCTTCAACTCGGATTCAAGCTTGGTATTGTCGTGACCTCCCCTTCTTTGGCTTCTGAAGTTCTCAGAGATCATGACATTACGTTTGCTAACCGTGACATTCCTGATGTGAGCCGAGCTATGGACTATGGCCGGTCAAATATAGTTGGAACCCCATATGGCCCTGAGTGGAGGATGCTAAGAAAAGTATGCGGCGTCAAGATGCTTAGCCACGCCACCTTGGATTCCGTCTCCCACCTTCGCTCTCAGGAAGTTCGAAACACCATCAAGTACATTTACAGTCAGGCAGGGTCACCGATCAATGTGGGAGAGCAACTTTTTCTAACCGTGTTTAATGTCGTTACCAGCATGCTATGGGGCGGCACGATCGAAGGGAAAGATAGGGCTAGTTTAGGTGCGGAATTCAGGCAGGTGGTGGCTGAGATAACCGAGTTGTTGGGCAAGCCCAATGTTTCAGATTTTTTTCCTGGCTTGGCTAGATTCGATTTGCAAGGTATAGTTAAGCAGATGCGTGGTTTGACCACGAAGCTTGAACAGATTTTTGAGAAAATGATCAGTAAAAGATTGGAGATGGATGAACAAGGCAGGGATGCAGCTGGGAGAGGTAGCATAAAGTGTGAGGACTTTTTGGGATTCTTGTTGAAATTGAAGGACGAGGGAGATCCCAAGACACCACTTACCATGACTCACGTCAAAGCCTTACTCATGGTATGCTCTCCCTTTGCTTTTTTTTAAGTATAAATGTGTAATGATGATAATAATAACAACAAAAACGTATGCCTACATGTAATTTTTAAGGTCACAAAAATATAATTATTGAAGTCATGACCCAACCTACCTCGTAGTAAAACAGGAGTGCACGTTCGTTTCAGGTAACATTTTTCAATGGAGTAATTAAGTAATTACAATAAACAATTGACATTGGAAACTTTTCACAATAAACAATGGACATTGGAAATTTCACATGCACTTATCTAAACAATGCACATATATAAAAATATATTTTACTTCCAAAAAAAAAAGTATTGAATATGATCGTAAATCATTAAATAACAACGAAATAAACTAGAGTTATTAAAACTCAAATTTGTTTTATTGAAAAAAATTATGGCAGCAAGACTATGCATGGTAGTTACATATATAAATATTTTTAATCTTAATATGTGGTGAAAATATGTGTTGATAGGTGTTACCTGATCACATTTATTTAATTAATACTATATACAATTAAAGAAAAAAAGAAAAAAGAAGAAGCACAGATTGAGGGTTTGTGCATGCAATGAATCTCCTCCATAGATTGTTTTCTAATGAAAAATCTTACCCAATTTGGTTTACTTGAGATTAATAATACTATGTATATACATATGTCAGGATATGGTCGTAGGTGGTACAGAAACATCCTCAAACGCAGTTGAGTTTGCCATGGCTGAAATCATGGAAAAACCAGAAGTAATGAGAAAAGCACAGCAAGAATTGGTTGAAGTTATTGGGAAGGAAAACATAGTACAAGAATCTGACATAAACAAATTACCATATTTATATGCCATCATGAAAGAGTCGTTGAGGTTGCACCCAGTACTTCCATTACTAGTCCCTCATTGCCCTAGTGAAACATGCACTGTTGGAGGGTACACGATTCCTAAGGGTGTTAGAGTTTTTGTTAATGTTTGGGCCATACAAAGGGACTCTTCAGTCTGGGAAAATCCATTAGATTTTAATCCTGAGAGGTTCCTGAATAATAGGAAAACATGGGACTACAGTGGGAGTGACTTCAGGTATTTCCCATTCGGGTCTGGAAGGAGGAGTTGTGCTGGAATAGCGATGGCTGAGAGGATGTTTATGTATTTACTTGCTACACTTTTACACTCTTTTGACTGGAAATCACCAGAAGGAAAGAAGTCAGATCTTTCAGAGAAATTTGGGATTGTTATAAAGTTGAAGAATCCTCTTGTTCTGATCCCAACTCCTAGGTTATCTGATCCAAACCTTTACGAGTAGATTGAGGGGAAAAAGAAGTTATACTATTCCATCATTATCTTACGATATTTGTAGTTTTTGCGGTGTGATTTGAACTTAAATTTCAGTCTTGTAACTTGGATTGTAGAAATAAAAGTGAATTTGAGTGGTGGATTTCTGCAATGTAATTAGTTCCAGGTCTATGTAATTATTAAAAAATGGTACGTATTTGTATTGTCATTTGCTTATGACTTTGTTACAAAGAAAAAGATGCTGCTCTTGTCCTTATTAGTTATTCCGGCAACAAGCATTTGGTATCTTTGTGATGTTCGTTTACTTTCAACAAATAATGACAGCAATTAATATTATAAATTTATACTGATACTTACTTGCCAAAGCACAAATTAACCTAATGTGAGGGTGATGTTTATCATAGAATCTCAAATTATTTCGATAAAAATAATGTTTCTCCTAATCAATTATAAGGAAACTTGGGACATAACAACAGGAAATATCAAACAAAATGACACACACGTAAACACACAACATACCTTACATAAAGAATATTATCAGAAATAAATGAATTGAACCGCATCAAACCATAATGAGTTTTTCAAATATTTCGAACCGATTCGGTTCAATTAATTTTACGTTCGAACTTCCATATGCATTCTTAAGACCGGTCAGCCGAACATAGTTTGGATCGATTCAACATAAGACGAACAAAGAAATGGTACCCAAATTCCCATCTTCTGAAAGGAAAAGATTTCTAGTGTGCTTAACCATTCTGAATGACTGTTCATAGACATGTAGCTAGGAATTAAGATTTCTGACTAAATGGCGGGAGCTATAATTTGTGGCTTGATCTATCCTTGTTCTCTGATGAAGGGTGGTACATTATGGAAACTTAGTCATAATTGATGGTCAGGTTTTAGCAAAGAGTGTTTGGGAATATGTTAGGAAGAAAAGAGGTAGAGTGGATTGGTAAAAGTTACTTCACTTGATGGTCAGTTTTATTTCTTGGCTAGCTATTCTGAATAGGTTGACTACAAGTTAAAAGTAGACAGATTATGATGGAGAATAAATAATTAATCCAGTTTGTATTGTGTGTAATCTTGCATATGAGATTGTGATCATCTCATCTTTTCTCGTTCTTGAACTGAAAGCAAATGTCAGCAAGTTCTACAGAATGAGTAAAGCAGTTTCTACAAAAGAGGAGTGTTCAAGCTACTGTGATTAGGATTGCCTGATGTCTCAAAGCAGTTTCTACAGAATGGAGTATTTGATGTGAGATCGCAGGGAATTGTGCAAAAGGATCCACATAGCCGACCAAATTAGTTTGGAATTGAGGTTAGGTTGCTGTTGCTGTTGCAGTAGTTTCAATTTCGCTTCTTTCTTGCTTTATATGTCATTGTTCTTCTTGCAAGCATGCAGGATTCACCCTGTGTAAAAAAGAAAAATGACTTTTTGCTTAAAGGAAACTTGATCATTAATCAAAAAGGAAAAAAGAGAGATGAAAACAAGAACTAATATAAATTAAGCAGAAGCTATTTAATCAATGCTTTCCTTTCTCACTGTAATGATTATTATGCCATTCCATAGGTTTGAGAGAAAGGGAATAAGGTAACTACAAATGCTGCTAATTGTTTCTAATCACGTAAACAACAACAGTAACATGCTCTACTTCCTTTGTATCAGCTCCAATGATATCGATCAAGCTTTGAAATAAAGGATCCAAAATGTCTGCTCCGAAATGAGACTGAATCATCGACTCATTGATTGCTCTTAAGACCTTGACCATGTTCTTTGCTGTTGTTGCCCTATCACACTTCATTCCTCCATTACAAGCATCCCATGGAAGGGCAAAGATCTCCAGGCAATTGAGAGTGAAAGATCCTTCTTTCTCTATCTCAGTTTTGATTTCTTCTATGTATGGTTCATAGGTTGGGGCATTATAGGTGTCTAACTTTTCTTCTGCGATTCCCCCTGGATTAAGAATTCACTAATTAATGACTCCATAAAAACAAACAAACAAAGTAATCACAAATTAATGTGCCTTCTCGTTTTCATGTTGATTCAATGACCAGCAAACTTAACCATATGAAGCTGTAATCTGTTAAAAATGAAAACAAATCCACTGATATATAATCTTTGAACTTGATATTGAAAATTATGTAAAAGAGAGGGATGGCAACACAAGTACACACCTTCGAAACTAAATCCTGGAATGCCTGGCCTATATAATCCCAGAGCAAACAACTTTCATCAGCAGTTGGGTCTGCAAATCTTCTTGCCCTCAACGTAAATACCATACATCCCCCTGGAACTACTTCCTTTGAGCGTCCCTTGAGAAATGAAAAGAAATCCTTTTGAAACTGATTCTGATATGCCTCTATCACAGCTGCTGAACTGGTCTTTGAAATGTATATTTTGCCTTTGTTTATTAGTGGATTTGATTTGTCATTCAACTCCGGAGGTACCTATAAACATTTTCAGAGATCATCAAATGGAATCAACAAACAATAGTTGAAATATTGATTGATTTCAAGGAAAAAGGAGCACTTAAAGTTGGATGGTTAAGAGAAACCTGTGATAGCCAATGAAGACTAGTTCCAGAGTGCACAAAATGCAGGCTATTTGATGGGAAAAGCCTCCCATAAAAAGAACCTGGAACTCCAGAAATATAGCATGGACCAAAATCTGGCCCATTTTCTGCCCTTATTTTCTCCTGGAAAGCTGGCATGAAAGACTGGAAAACGGTGTTGAAATCATTTCCTGGAAGATCATTCAAGAACACAGAAAATTCTGGTGGCGATTGGCCTAGTTGAGAGCACCTTTTGTAGATCATGCTTGTGATCTGAGTAACTGCAAACAAAGAGTTTGGTCCTGAAGAACATCCAAGGTCTGCTATAGTGATACAACGAGGAAGCTTGGTGTCGCAGAAATCAACCACTGCTTGTGCTAGTACTGGCACTGAACTGGATAGATTTGCTTTCTACAAAAAGAAGCAGACTCTGTTCAGAAGAGCAGTGCATGCGCATGCACAAATGATTACATCCAATTTATTAAAGTTTGAGTAGAAAAAATAAAGACATAACAAGAAGCGAAAGGATTACTGTGGTTCTTATCAAATCAGCCACAGTGGACTACTCCACAGAGGCACAGACACAAAAGCTGCAAACACCTGCATCTTGTATCACTTGACTTTTGGAGATTTCGAAAAGGAAAATGTCATGCCTACAAACAAATCATACTAAAATATCATCTTTGCTTATCTTTCTTCTCCTAAACATTTGACTACCTAAGTAAATTCATCCACAAAAAAAGTATCCAAATTTTGAGATGAAAAAATATTATAAGTTGAAACTTGAAACCCTTTTCATTGCGTTTCATATGCATACATGGGTTTGGCAGACCTTAAATATTTGAGTTTAGCACTAATGCTAAGGGCCCTAACAATGAGATTAAGTTTACACAACAGTACTACCACTTTATCAGTTTCTGTAGGTCTAAGTGCTTTGTTTCAAGAACTCAAAATCTGCAGCCTAAACAATTACACGCTATTTTTTGGCCATGGCTCACTGCTGAATATACTTGCTAACAACTTACACGCCAGAAAAAAAGAAGAGAAGTTGGAACTTACCTGTCCTTTTGAGTTCTTGGCATAGCTCTCCTCTCCCAACCCTCCTTTCATGCTCAGGACTTGCTGTATTTTTGTGCTCTCTTTCTCCATCTTTCTGCCTGTTCTTTTCCAAAGCACCCTCTAATTTACTGTTTTATTTAGAATCCTCTATGGATTAAGTTTATTGAACAAAGATGATTACTAGAAGCACAGAGATAACGTTGTTGTAGTAAAAAAATGATTTATTGAACAAATGGTTTGTCCTCTCTTCAAATGTTGATTCCTTCGGTTATCTACATGGATTCCTCCTACTGACGCAACAACATGCATTTGGCATTTTGTGATCTTGACTAGAGAGCAACCAATTAACTATATGAATATATAAACTAGTATGATTATTATATCTACTTTCTTTTTCTCTGAATAACAACTGGAATAGAATATGATGTATATGATATAATAACAAATACAATTTTATAATAATCACTTGCCAACCAACAGGTAAATTTTGGTGCAAATCAAAAAATTTCCTGCAGTTAGGCTCAGGCATCAAGACTCCCCTGGCCGGCTGGGCGCATAAAGCTCCCACGCCCACATCCAAAAGATCAGGAAGCGGAAAGGGCTGGTGTTCCAATTGTCAGTAGAGGGGTTCAAATGATCAAAAAATAAAATTGGAGGACTGCACGTTGTAACTAGCTCAGGAAATTTGTGTAAGAAAGTCTTTGCAGCGGTCACCTTATACGGGTCCGCCAAGATATTCCATCAAATCCAAAAGCTTTAGAGCTGTGAAGTACTGGAGGGTCTATCTCCATATACAAACACCTCATCCTACTTTACTCCCCTCCAGCATAAGCATCTATAACCATTCAGAATTGCAGAATTGCAGAAGTTGTATCATCAGGAGAGCTTGTGCATAAGCATTGTTCTCAGCCTTGGGAAAGGGGCAAAAAACATGGGACCTCACAACTTTAACCATGCTAGTAAATGGTCGAGGCAATTCTGGTATCTTATCAGGAGGTATTTGTTTCAAACAACAAAGAATGAAATTCAAGTGTCAATTGATGAAAAATGATAAAAAATGATCTGATTTTTTCTTCTTTTGGTAAACCAGGTGGAGATCTAAGAATAGTTTCACTGGACATAATTTCACCAAAAAACAGTAATAATCAGCATATCTCAAAATGTCACCAAGCAAAATCCATGCAACAATAACTCATCTGACAAGCTCTAGCCTGATTCTGACATTATTTCCATGGGTTAGAAATCTACTGATTTATTCAAATAAACAAATTAATGGGTTCAGCTGATTTAAAAAGATTCCACTTTTAATCCAAAGCTCTTTCCAAGTGAAGCGACTAAATTCCAGAAGCCCTCATTGACTACATGAAATAATTAAAGGGTACATAAATTTTATACTGAGGATGTTAGTTAGCATTAAAATAGAGTCCAAGCAGTAAAGGAATGTAAATGAATTTCGACAGGTGAATAGATCCGTGCAGTCAAATGGAAGCAGGTGCCTGCTCAAAGCGGATTATCTTGATTGTGTATGCTTTCTCATCACAAAAACTCACTTGCAGCCTCGAAATAAGTCATTGCACCTTTTTTCAATCTTATGCAAATTTATGTTTCAGTTAAACTTGAAATAAACCGAACAGAAAAAGGAAGTTTGCAAAATCAGATTGCATTCCAGCCGTAATATGCATATCAGAAATTGCAAACAAACCAGATTATTAAGGCTGTGTTTGTTTGGAAGAAAACAAGTTCCATAGGAAAATCAATTCATGAGGAAGCTATTTTTCATAAAATTATTTTTCAAAAACATACTTTCTGCCGTTTGTCAATTATATGAAAAAACTATTGAAAAATATATTTCAGTGTTTGTTTGATACAAAAAATTAAAATACAAAAACATATGTAATTGTTATATCAACAAGTTTTGAGAAAATTTCAAAAAAACATATTCATAATTTCACAATATAAGATACATTTAGAAAAATTTAATAAATTTTCATAAATACTAACTCTAAAATTTTAATTCAAAAAATAAAATGTATTTTTTTAGCCATCAAACCAATTCAATAAAATTACTTGGAATAAAATCAAGTCAATATTCACATTTAGTAAAAAAAAATTCTAAATAATCCTAGTATTGTTATCTTGGTAGCTCAATTAAGAATTCTTTTTTTTTTTATTTTATAGAAATTGAACTGATAATTTAGTCTGAAAAATAGTTTTATAAATTATTAGTTATCATTTATAAATAGCTATTCATTTGGTCTCAAAAGATTAATGTTGAAATAATTTGTAACTAATTATTCACTACAATTACCAATAAAATTTTACAATTGATTAAAATTACAAATTATTGGTTTAGTTGCAAATGAATAATGTTGAAAAAATATGTATTTATTGATGAATTAATTAAAATTTTTTTTACAAAAAATTATAGTCTTATAATAACCATTTTCAATCATTTAAATATAGTTTAGGTAGTGTTTGAGATAACGGTAAAAAAATAGAGATAAATTATAGAAATATTTATTATAAAAATAATTTTAAGGTATAAAAATGATTTTTAAGAATATTTAATGTATCTATAAATAAAAAAATCAAATATTAGTAAAAATAGAGAAAAAAATAATTAAATAATTAATTATAATTGATAAGGAGTAATTAGAAATTAATCCTATATCTTTTAAATAAAAAGAAGATAGAGAAATTTTTTTTTAAATATATCGAGAGATAGATAAGTAATACGAGAGCGAGACAACTCGTGAGAAGAAAAATATTTTCCTCTTTTTAAACTGAAAAAACATTTTTTTAACAATACTCTATCATTTTTCGTTGATCAGAAATTATTTTTCGTTGACTTTTTTCTAAATACAAAATAAATATTGAAAAATAGAGAAAACAAGTTCCTGAAACTTGTTTTTCTCCGACCAAACACAGCCTAAGATCAGCCCCAGTAGAAATTGACAAGCCTCCACCCTTGCAATTCCACTCAAATCCACAAAAGCATCAATAGGTTTTTCCTTGGCCAAGCTTTTAAGACCAACAGATGCTCCTCTGGACTTGGCAGGGAGACAGATATTTTTTTCAAATATGCGAGGCCTTATGACGTCTGAGTCCACACTACAGGCCTGCCACCGCTGACGCCAGTTTAAGAGAGACGTGAAAAGACAATGAAAGAGAGCAGAACGAGTAGTATTTTACCTGTTAGTAGCACCAATCACAAACATGCAGCCACAGATCTAACTCAAAAGCAGTTGCAATTAAAAAGATTTTGTCAATACCATACACGATGCTTAAGACATGCAATTGCAGAATATTTTGCCTGCTTCCGAAGCCTTCCCAACCGTTGCCTTCTTTGCACACCTTGTGTTCAGTGAATTTACCGATGTATGATTAAGAAATAAATCAAGTAGGCCGCCCAACACCCTTAATTTATTTCTCTCACTTCGAATGGAATATTTCTAGTATCTCCTAGTTAAGGAATGGGATAGTATAATATCAAACCTATACAAGGGATAGAATCTACTCACTTAAATGGACAATTAAGAATGAATATTTCTTGGCATGGAATCTACTCACTTTAAATGGTCAATTAAGACCGAATATTTTTGGTATATAGAATCTGCTGACCCCCCCAAACCCAGCCCCCCCCCCCAAAAAAAAAATAAAAATAAAAATGATGCTGGTAAATCTGCAAGCATCAATTTGGCAACAAGAAAATTATGGCGCTAACAAGTCATGGGTTCAGTGAAGATATCCGCGATTTGCAGAGAGATGGATATATGTGGGAGAGTAATAACCTGACGATCATAAACCTCCCAAATGGAATGAGAGTCAAACTCAATGTGCTTCGTGCATTCATGATAGATGGGGTTGGCAGCAATTTGGATGGCACTGGTGTTGTTAGCATGTAGAGGAGTTGGCTGAACTGGGCAGAAACAAAGCTCTGTTAAGAGACCACGTAGCCAAATGATCTCGGAACAGGCTACAGAAATAGCTCGATACTCTTTCTCCATGGAGGACTTGGATACATAGTTTTGTTTCTTGAATTTCCATGAGATAAGAGCATCACCTAGAAGCATACAACATCCAGTAGTAGACTTCCTAATGTCTGGGCAGCTTTCCCAATCAACATCACTATAGGCGTGGAGCCAGTGAAGAACCAGTAGGAAAGAAGAGGCCATGATTTTAATAATACATACCTCATATTAACATGATACATTCAAAGAAATAAATTATTCTAAATGTTAATTTTAAGGTTTGAACTTAAAAAATTAATGAAAAACAAACTTTTTTTTTTTAATCACCCGACCAACTCTTTGAACTTAAAAAGAGAGTTGGTACATTTAATCTTTTAGTATTTGTGAAGGAGACAGATGAAAATGCAAAATACCTAGCTAGATTGAACACCAAGTTTAACATCACAAACAAATGCATAAAAAGTTTTTCACATATCATGGTTCACTCCATGGCATGTCAAAGTTGGCATAGAATGACCTTCGTGTACACAGCTAATGCAATACAATCAAATAACTTGACTTCACCACCTTCTTCACTGAACTTGGCCACCGAAGGTTAACCAGCTTGTTCTCATTGCTGAACAAGAACTTGTTCCCAGCTGGTCCACAAAACAAAACCACTGACTTTCCTAGAAATGAAGTGGGGATTATGCTTCTCCATCCTATCTCTTAGAAACCTACCAGGTTCTCCTGCGAAACAGGTACCTAGGTAGTCTAAGATTTCAACTATTAGAGACCATCCTAGGCTTCCTGGTGGAAGATGAGGGTTTGAGAACAATCTTGCTTGAATCTAGATGATCAAAGTGAAGAAAGCAAAATGGTTCCTATCAGAATCAGATGATCATAAGGACTTGAAAACATTGCAAATTGCATTCTAGTACTGCTGCTTAATTTGATCCTTAACTGGAACTCGTATTTATAACAATTCAGTGATGTGGTTAGCTCAAGTATTGTTTCATTGTAGCGAAAGCGTAATGCAGGCAATTACGATTTACGTAGGAAGTTTTGTTTTTTTGTCTTTTTTTAATTTATTCATTCGTTCATATATATATATTATTCTGTCAGAGTATCCATCATCAATCGAGACGAAATTTCATTCACAGGCAGTCTTAAAGGGTAATTCTTATAGCAATCTTATTTACTTAATTTGGTATGAGTAAATTATAAATTAGTCCCTCCCATTTTGAGAAACGAATTAATTAGTCTCTTTGTTTTAAAATCTAATTATTTAATTTTTTTAATGTTAATTATGATTAATTTAATATTTTTTTATTTTATAAAATGTATCGTCTTCTCATCAATCTTTCCATCATTTTTAATTATTTTCTATTTTCTATTTCTTAAAATAAAAATAAAAAATAAATTAAATGATTAGGTTTTGAAATCAGAAAGAGTAATTAGTTCCTTTCTCAAAACGAGAGGGACTAATTTATAACTTACTCTATATGGTGTTTATTATCCTATGTTGTGCTCTAAAGCAAAATAATTAAATTTTTTGTTGATAAATTATGGTGTGGGTGTTTGATATTGTGAGAAAATTTATTATTATGTTATTTGAATTATATATATATATATATGGTGTTTATTATCCTATGTTGTGCTCTAAATAATTAAACTTGATCACCCACATGTTTGTTACTGGATTTATATTTTACTAGCTTTGTCTGCTCCCTTTCTAATGCTTTTTTATTTCTTGCATCCATTCTACTTAGTTGATTGGTTATATTTACAAATCATAATACTAACTTTTTTATTTTGACTGTTCAACTGAAATGTTTTTTTACTTGTTTTCAAAAACTCCCTCACATGGTGTTTAGCATAATTTTTCTACACAAATATTGTTTAATCTGATTGGCTTCTTGTTCTTTACTAAAGGTACTGCCATTGAATAAATTTGAGCAAAATTTAGAAATAAAACAATAATGGGCCCGGCCTAATTACAAAAGGAGAAACATCTTAACAAGCCCACTTCTTCTTGTCCATGCAGGTAAGCCCAGCTTGCCTTAAACGTTGACTACGATAGGCTGGTCTCAAGCAGCGAGCAAAAAACCATATGTGTTATTTGCTCACTTCACTTGATTCAGCAGCACTTTTCAGTCAACTTTAGACTTTCATCATAATTATAAAATTCTGATTAGATTAAGCCATGATATAATGCAGAAACCACTTCCATAGGAAACCTAAAAAAACAAAACAATAGGGGCCAGTATTTTGAATTCTACAACACAGGTAATAAGCTGAAATATGCATGAAGAAGTGAAAGTGCTCAGGGCTCAGAAATTAACTTTGAATTCTAGCTTAATTAAATTTCCGCTTTAAAGGCTGCATTCAATATGTTTATTTGACTAAAACTCTTGTTTTATCCTGAGCACATCAACCATGCCCAGTCAAGTTACCAGCACAACTTTATTTTAGATCCTCAAAAAGCCAGGATGATGAATGGTAATTTTTTCCTATTTAAAAAAGGTTGAAAATGGAATCGAGATTCAAACATTTTGCTCAACTTTATTCAATGACAATATCTATATTAAAGAAAAAGAAGCCAATCAGATTAAACAATATTTGTGCAGAAAAATTATGCTAAACATCGTGTGAGAGAGTTTTTGAAAACAAGTGAAAAACATGTCAGTTAATCGGTCAAAATACAAAAAACTAGTATCATGATTTACAGATATAATGAATGAACCACAATAACATAGAGTTATTTTTTATAAATCTGCATAGTTTATAAAGAGAAAATTTCTCATATAATAATACATTTAACTTTACCCATATATCTAAAATATAATATGTGCTATTAATTATAAATGAAAACCAACTAGTAAAACAACATGGTGCTGATAATTAATTAGTTATTTCATTTTTCTTTTAATTTCATGCACACCAAAAATGTAAGATCAACACATCAATTTACAAGTGTATATAGTTAATTAGATCAATACATAAAATTTCACCAAAACTTTGTAACCGTTGATCATATAGCTTTTTGGATATAAATTCATATTTAGTAGGTTATAAAAACCTTATATAACCTTCTTTTATTTATTTAAAAGATATGACAGTGATATCAATAATTTTGATCAAAATTGATTTCTATAATAAATGTTATTTTTAATCCAAATTATCCAACATTATATGCACTAGTCTTATCAGCATCCATTTATGACGAAGATCTCGTGACATGATGCACATGTAAAGCATTTATAAATTTTGTTGTTTAGACTTTAGGTCCTGTTAATTTGGCAAGCCTAGCAAACGCCTAAACTTTAAACACTACTTTGCTGTAAAAAGAAAATTTTGTTTTAGAGCAAATCATGGAAAATTTAAGAAAACAAACACCCAACCACGGCAAAACTGGCAAAATTAAGAAAATGAGTTTAGCTAAGCATCAATCAATCAGGCTTGGTAGTTGGAAGGGATGGCAATGAGGCAGGGCGGGGCGGGGATCGCCATCCCCTTCCCCATCTCGACCTAAAAATTTTGCTTCATTCTCGCCTTGTGCCTCGAACGGGGTAAAATTTGTCATACTATCCCCGTCTGAAACAGGGACTAGAATCCTCGCGGGGCATTGGCGAGGCAAATTGAGCAAAAAAATTACCAATATTTTTTTCCTTCTTGTCTTATCCCATTATATTATCAAATTTTAAACTATAGTAAAAAAATGATAATTCATATAAAAAATAAACCCTAAAAGTCAATGGTTATGGATTTTATATAAGATATAGTTATAATTTTAAGGATGAAAATCATGAAATGAGGCAAATGAGGCGGGAGGACAAATACCATCCCCGCCCTGCCCCGTTCCCTAGTCAACACAGGGAATTCCCACGTTGACCGGGGCAAAACGAGCGGAGCTCCACTTGGGCGAGGCAAATTGCCATCCCTAGCTGGCACCCCTTCACCAAGTCTCACTAACAATGTACGCTGGGGTTAACATCCATCGACGAAGGCCAGTTACATGTTCATGAACATCAGAAATTGAAAATTACATAATGGAATTTGTTGGACAGGAGATGAGCCTTCAAATTCAAGTGAACATGGCTAAAAATTCTAAATAATTCTAATGGATGCTTCAAAACACACGAACCAACCTATGAAAAAATGTTGGTTAGTTCTATCAAATATACAAAAATTTGAACCCAATTATTGGTCTTGGATACTGGTTTTACATGAATAATTTGATACTTCATTAACCATAGACCATCCGTGCACAAAAATTGCACAAGTACAATTTGTAAGAAATCAATTGCATTGATACAACATGTTAAATTCCACAACATGTGGCCTTGGGCGCATGCTAACCAAGCGATTGAAAGAAACATGGGCATCGGCAACATTATTAAGATTGCTATAAGCATTACCCTTTTTTGCTGGCAGACAACTTTTAATGGCACAAGTAATGTAGAAGCACAACATTAATGTATGGGTATGAGAATGGAGAAACTGACAAATACCAATTTGTGGTTGAAGCTGAAAAGCAGAAGCAGAAGTTGTGAAAGCCCTTTTCGCATCATCATCATCCTCTGCGAAAGATGTTCTTCACCTCTCTCAATCCTAGCGTTATCTTGCTTTTAACAGAGAAGGGAAAAGAAAGAAAAAGTGGGTGAATTTCAGAAATGCCCAAAACACAATTTTTTTAAAAAAAAATGTAACTTTTTAAATTCTAAAAACAATAATCTCATCCAAATTAAAAAATATTTTTTTAATAATAAAATAATACGTATAATTAAAAAGTAACAAATAATAAGCAAAACCCAAAACTGGGTAATCTAAATGAACCACCACGTTTGGTAAAAACAACAAAATTGTAAAAAACTAACGACATCTTCAAGCAAAACCAAGAGAACTAGATGGAGCAACACCATAACCTTCTCCTCCATGATCAAAGCCAGGCCTTGCAGCAGATCCCTGCAACATCCAAACATGGAATAGAATTAGAAGTAAAAATACAAGAAAATATTACCATAGTTGTCCCTAATGAGTATTAACAGGTACGGTAATCGTATTAAATTGAAATTACCCTAAATGCAGGCTGGTAATCTGCCGAAGCTCCTCCCTTCTCACCACTTTCACCCCCTCGGCCGGCCCCCAAGACAACCATCAGAGTCACCAAATCTTGGACGGTAAGCGAGGTGGACCTCTATAAACCCAATCAAACACCACATGTCATTAGTATACTCTATAAAATAAGGGAAAGGATAAGGAGAACAGTCAAATCAGCAAATGGTCAACAAAATCTTAATTACCAGCCTGCATTTAGAGTAATTAGGAGAGGATGAAAAATACGAAGGAGGATAAAATTAGGGTTTGTTTGAGTTTGTTCAGAGAGAGAGAGAGAGAGAGAGAGAGAGAGGCAAACTCCCAGATGCTTGGCAGGCTGCTTTTGAATATGAAAACAGGGAAACCTATCACAATCTTCAGCCAGTCGCTGAGATTGTAGCCCATCACAGGTAATTGTGACGGTAAGTCTCCTGTGAGATAAGTTTGAGAGATAACTCTCATTATGATTTTTTCAATCATAATAAATTTACCTTAAAAGATAAAATTTGATGAAGGGTCTCCCTTACGGTACTTGCCATCATTTGCCTGTCTCCTATGCTTACTCACACAATAGCAGACTCTGTCTCTCTTTCGTTTTCTATACTCAGAATAATCTCTTCAGAGATGTCTGGCCATTACTTGGGTTAAAGTTATCGAGATTTCTTGGTCTTTCATACTTACTGGTCATATCTCTAACTGCAACAATTATCCGATGATAGGGTCCATGGGATCTGACTGTAGTGCAACGTGCCAATCACCGAGACCCTGCTCCTCACTCTTATCTTAGAAGCCCAGCTACTCTGCAGGGTACTCAAGCGGAACTCTTCCTACATACACAACACAGCTAACGTGTATGTGTGTGTGTGTATATATATATATATGGACTATGGATTTCAATTCCCCGAAAACTGTGCGTATATTATGGGATGTCATCATTAAGCTGTGACTGGTTCAGTTGCAGCAGCTTGATCATCCCCAGTCAGCAGCAGAGAGCATCTAGTTTTGACAAGCAAAGTGCAACATCTATTGGCAGCATCTTCATTATTTGGGGCCTCTCAAGGAGATAGTTCTGCAATGGGTTTCCAGTAATGCTCGTCAACTGCTTCATGGAGTTTCTATTGGTTGGACAAGTACAGCACATCAAAATTTACTTTGATAATCAGGATGTACGCAGCTGCATGTGCTTGCATGAGATAGAGAAGGAAGACATAGGGGAAAGTGGCTTTCCAGAAAATTTACCTTCTCTTTTTGTCTGTTCTGAGCTTTGTTATTTTAGCAAATTTACTGCCTTTCTCATATGAAGCCCATTATGCTCTTCAGCTTCATTGATCATCTGGTTTCTCATCTTTTTGCTCTAGATGGATGGAATTTGGCCTGCCAAAAAATGTACAAACACCTTTATCAGCGTACTGAAGTACGCAACATGTTATCCGTTTACAGATACTAAAGCACAAATTTTATCCATTTACAGATACTTAAGTACGCAACATTTTATCCATTTACAGTTCAACGTTAACAAATTTGAAGCCTCAATGATCCGTTGCACATAAGAAGAATAGTGGCATGGTTATTGAAAAAAAAAATCAATTCAATTTTATCAACGTAATTATGGCAAAAATTACAACAATAATAATAAGAAGAAGAAGAAGAAAAAAACCAACAAGCAACATTACATTGATAATTCACCATATCATCTACGTCCTAGCTATAAAGCTTATGTTACTCATCGTCTTGGAACCACCAAACTACCTGTTTATTAAGGGAAAAAATAAAAAAACCTAGCACGATTGAAGTTTTTATGCAAAAATAGTTAAGGTATTAACAACCAAATTCAATTTCCCCTTATTTTTTGCCATCAGAGCATAAAAAACTCTCCAAAGAGCAATCTTCAAAGGCTCCAATAACGCCTATCATGGATACTAAGCATAAACTCCAACACTATAAGATGGTTCAGGGGGGAAAAAAGAAACAAGACAATAGCTAAATAATAAGGTAATGTTCAGCATCCCTTCCATGAAGAGCTTGCGCAACACATTGTCATCCATCAGATGTATAATGGCAACAATAAAACAACATGACAATATGTAATGATAGCCAAATAAAATGATAAAATCATGTGTGTATTTTAATTTGACAATTGTTTTCTTACAGGTATTATAGAAAAGCATAAGAAAGTGGATTAGGCTAGGAGATTTCAATTCAATAGCTAATTACATCTTATATGTTTATGAAGAATTTAGGAGGAAGACAAAGCTAAATGACTATAGCACCAAAGACAGCTTTGGAGTTGCCTTTATTCACTGTAGACAAACAGATACATAACACCATGCAGTATGTTTACCCCAAGGTATTAGGAGCCAGAATACATAAGAGCCTTGATTACAATTCCCACTAACTGAAGGAGTGTAACAAGTAGTATGTCGTGAAAATCATTTCAGCTAACTTCTATTTCAATCTTCGTAATGCTTCTTTTGAGAAGGTCAACTAAAATTACCAAGAGTCAAAAATCTGAGATGCTGTTCAAGAACAATAATAACACCTACATTATGGCAATATCCACACAAGTAAGCAGAATTTGGTAAATAATAGTGTTGATGCATTGCACGCAATGTTGTCAATTACATAACTACAGAAGGGAGCAATTATAAGCTTTTACAAGGTGATATGCAAGTAAGTGGCATAGGGAACAATTATAAGCTTTACAAGGTGATATGCAAATAAGTGGCATAGGCAGCAATAAAAGTTAGTCTACAGCCAATATCAGACAACATTTAGGACCAACATAAGGAGAATTCATCCTCTCCATTCCCTACATTACTCTTTGAATTCATTTGATATGTAACTGGCTACAAGATGAAAATTCAAACAGATTATCTGAGAAATGCAAAACTCTATACGACAAAGTAGGTAGCCAAATGCAATACCTGGCTTTATATAAGAAAGCCAAAACTCAAAATTGTCAAACCCACACATGATGCACATTGTTATAGTCTATCCCCTGGATAATTTGGGTTTGGATTACTGTGGTGGTAAGATTGACAAAACAAGGGACAAAAATAGAATTATTTGTTGTTTAGCAAAACCATGTGCAGAAATGAACTCAATCACAAATATGTAAGATTTTAATGAGTCCCACAGTACATGCTGATTTAAGACAAAAAGGACAAAATGATAAAATATATGAAAATGTTCAGTGAATAATAAGAAATAGCTACAGACAATCATAGTAATGCAGTTATAACCCACAGGTGGTGAATGCCACTTCAAAACAGTTATCTGTTGACTATTATGATTTGAGGGAAAAAAAGAAAAGAAAAAAGCAAGTAATTCTTTGTCTTTGTCCAGATTTTGAGGTGAAAAAGAAACTTAATATCTGCCACATGAATTTCCAGCATGAAAAGCTTACATTACCTTCTCACCTTGACGAACTTCACATAGGCCTAGATACTCCTTCAGAACAAGATTGTCTTCGTTTGATAACAGATCTACCACCAAGGCTGTAGTGCCCACATCTGCAACGAAACCTTTGTCTCTCATTTCATGAATAAGTTGCACTGCACCTAAATCATTCTTGTGCTGGAGAAATCCTCGGATAATAACATTATAAGAACACTCATTTGGAGGGCAGCCATCTTTTTCCATATTTCGGAAAGCCTGCCATGCTTCATATAAAAATCCTGCTTTGCAAAGTCCATTTATCATTGTATTATATGACGAAACATGAGGCTGCTCCCCATTGGCAGAAATCTCTGCAAACAACTCCCTAGCACCTTTAATCTTCCCAGATTCGAACATGGCATGAATAAGGATGTTATATATCACGTAATCAGGCTTCAGATAACTATTTTGCATTTCCCGAAACAGTCTCAACGCCTGATCAAGAAACCCTTGCTTGCAGAAGGCATCAAGCAAAATTGAGTAAGTAAATAGATTTGGGAGGTTGCCATTAGCATGCATGTTATTGAAAAGCTCTTGTGCTTCTCGAAGTCTCCCTGCTTGGCACATGCCACTAATCAGAGTAGTGTAACTAACAGTGTTTGGAATGAGACCTTCATGAGTCATTTCATAAAATAGTTGTTTGGCCTGATCTAACCTTTTGCCCTTACAGTATCCATGGATTAAGATGCTATAACTAAAAACATTAGGTATACAACCGTTGCTTTTCATCGCATCGAATACCTTTCTAGCTTCAACAACTTCCCCTCGCAAGCAGTATCCATGCATCAAAGAACTGTAAGTAACAACATCAGGCTCCACACCCATTTCACTCATCGTTTTTAAAATACCTCGAGCCTCTGAGACCTTGCCTTCTTTACAAATAGTATCAATCAACATGCTGAAGGTGACAATATCTGGCAGGATATTCAAACTCGTCATTTCATTTAGCAATCCCCAAGCCTCCTTCCATTGGCTGAAATTGCATAAACCCTGGATTAAGGAATTGTATGTGACAACCGTAGGTGAGATGCCTTTGCCCTTCATTTTAGAGAAGATATCTGAAGCCTCCTTCACCAACCTGTCCTTGCAAAAACTGTCGATAATTGTACTGTATGTCACGGCATCTGGCTTGCAACCTGCCTCTTCCATTTTCTTAAACAATCCAGTAGCCACAATGGTTTCCCCATTCTTACATAAGCCATTGATAATAATATTGTAGGTCACAACATCTGGCTCGCAACCTGCCTCTTCCATTTTGTTAAGCAATCCAGTAGCCACAGTGATTTCCCCAATCTTACATAAACCATTGATGATAGTACTGTATGCCACCACATTCGGCTTGCAACCTGCATCTTCCATTTTCTTCAGCAAGTCAGTTGCCACAGTGGTTTCCCCAATCTTACATAAGCCATTGATAATGGTACTATAAGTACGGACATCAGGTTTATACGCTCTTGCCACCATTTCATCAAAGAATTCCACAGCTTGAGCAATTTTACTCACTTTAGCCAATCCATTAATTAAGGTGTTAAATGTGACAATAGTGGGTTGAAAACCAAGTTTAATGAATTTGGCCAAGACAGAAAGCCCATAATCAACACGACATAATTGGGAGAAGCAATTAATCAAGATGTTAAAAGTACAAACATCATGAGAGAGTCCAGCGAATTCCAGTTGTTTGAAAAGAGAAACCACAATCTCGTAATGTCTCATTCTAACGATAGCAGACAATAATTTATTGAATTCGACAATAGAAGGCTGAGGATTCCTATGAAGCATGTGATTGAAGAAATGAAGGGCATGATCAATGTCTGTAAAAGAAGCATTCTTGTGTTCATATGTACAGCTAGAGGTAGTGATAGAAGCAGAAGAATAAGTGGAAATGGAGTTGGAGTTGGAGTGGTTGCTGGACAATAGAATCATACCCATTCGTTTAAAATGTAACCCAATAGTAACAAAAGGGGCTGCGGAACTTCGTTTTGGTGCCGCCATTATCATCACCACCGATCTTTCTCCGTCTCCCTATCAACAAGAAGCTCATGTGTTTAGTCGTCTCCTACCGGCGAGGGAGCGACCTAGGGCTGGGATGGGATCACATGCTTGTCAAGATGGAAGGGATTTTTTTTTTTTTTGGACTTTGTGTTAGAGGGTCTTGGGTTGGGTTTGGACCTACAAGACTACGCTTAGAGCCTCTCAGGTTGGGCTTGGGCCTATTGCACTTCACTCGGCACCTATTGGTGTTCTATTTAT